AATTTAATTGATTTTGCAAATGCCCTGGATGTGGAAGATATAGGGCCATCGCATGCATCGACAGATGAGCCTCTTTGGAAAACGATTGAGGATGTACCAGCACCAGAAATGCCAATTGATGTGAGCCTCGGGGTTAATGGTGAGGATGCCGAAAAGACATTGGTAGTTCCTGATGATGCGGATGGGGAGAATATTGGTTCATCTCAATATGAAGTTGTCCATTCTGAGGCAATGTTGAATGATGGAGAAGTTTGCGATGAACTAAATAGGTCTGTAACTATCTCCGGAGGTGATTATGCAGATATATACCTTACGAATGAGGATGATCTCACCTTCATGGATGTAAATGGAAAGGAGTCAATGGATAAGTCCTCTAATGAAAGCCTGAAGCCGATTCCGTTGAGTTCTCCCAAAGATGTTCATGAATATGTTGTGCCTGATCCTTGTCAACCTCAAAAGTTGATTTCAGACTCATTCCAGGATGTTTCACACAATGTGCATACTGCCAAGATGCCCGACTCTTGTCAACCACAAAATTTGATTTCAGAAACATGCCAGGATGTTTCACACAATGTGCATGCTGCCGAGATGGATGTTGCCGCTAAACCATCTCACTCTCTGCATGACGAGCAGCGTGATATTTCTTCTTCCGAAGCCAATAATCCATCATCTACATCAGTGCCAAATCCTCGTACTCCTGAACTTCGTGAGAAAGAGATGATTTGCACATTGAATACCGAGGACCCTGAAATCCCATGCAATGATGATATATTTCCACCTACTGGAACAGTTCATGCTGTAGTGCAGCCAACTTTAAAAGAAGCTAGTGGTTTAGCGTCCTCTACTGGCAAAAGAAAATGTGATCAACAAACAATAACCTTGACGAAAGAAGAAGATCCTGCACAACCTTTTAAGGTTCCTCGGATGGTCAGACACGACACAATTACAGAAAACAGCCCCAACCATGCACTTGTTTCTTTTGGAATTAAAGCTGCATATGGTGATAGTAACGGTCTAGCTTCAGTCTCCAAACATGATAAAAATGTCCCCGCCAACCCAAGCCAATGCAGATCAGCACATCAACCTCCTAAGTCTATCACAAATCGAGTGCTAAAAGAAGAGGTTAATTTTTATCTGGGGTCACTTCATACAATGGATTTCATATGTAATTACTTTATGAAGTTCTTGGTTTCTGTTGCAAAAATATATCACTAAAGGTGGTTGTTCTATTCTAAACAGGGAATAGATGCTCCATCTACAGTTGCAGAACTTGCACCCGTAATCACAGAGCCAGGTTCTACTAAAATGACTTTTCTAGAACCAGAAGCTAACCCCTCAGCACTAGATTGTGAAGAATCTGAGGAAGAATCTGATGACGATGTTGATGATGATGATGCTGACATTCCCTATTTTTCTGATATTGAACAGATGGTAAGCATTAATAATTTTGTTGAACGAGCAAGGATAGGTCTGGTCGTTTAATTCTCTGTTTTCTTTGTTTTCGCTTCCGCTAAACTATCAAAATCTTCAATTCACCCATATCCTACATCATTTGTTGATTAGCTAATTTTGTTAATAACATCTGATATTGAACAGATGGTAATAATTATGTCCTACTAAGTTCATTTCTAGGATCTGCCTTCTATAACTTGTTTATGTTATTTTTCAGATACTTGAGATGGATTTATGTCCAGATGATCAGGATTCATATTTCAGTAAAATAGGTAACTCCTCTAATTTGGGTGCTGTGCTAGTATCTGATGATCCTTCTGCTTCTGTTTCTAATCAATTCTGAATTTTGATATCTTATATAAAGAAAGCTACTCTTGTATATAAGTGAACTTTATTAAGATTTCCATGTTAGTATAAATTCTATGATTTTGAATGTCAAGAACTACATTATACTTGTCATTTTTTTTAATGTAAGATAAATCTACTCTGCATTATGTACTGGCCTTTGTTATGGTTTAAACATCTATATTTGAGTTTTTAAGTGATGAAGATTATAAAAACCGCCTTTCATGATTTTGTATTTCATTTCTATCTGGTTATTGAGAAGGAGAACATATCAGCCATTCAGTCTTAAATGTAACTGTTGAATGTATAGCATGTCTGCCATTATGTTCGAATATAGCTTTTGTTTTCTTTTAAAATTCTTTTCCTTGGTATTTCCAGCCTCAGCATATCAAGATGAGGATTCTAAAAGGCATATCATGAGATTAGAACAGTGTGCACGATCCTCTATGCAAAGAGATCTTGCATCTAAAGGTGCACTTGCTGTATTGTATGGTCGCCATGTAAAGGAATATATTAAGAAAACTGAGGTATGTTTTTCAAATTTTAAAGTTCTGATTCAGAATCACACGTCACCTTTGCAGACCTTATTGCAACCTCTTCCTACTTTGCAGGTAATACTTGGCAGGGCAACAGAAGATAATGAAGTTGATATTGATTTGGGAAAGGAAGGGCTACACAACAAAATATCTAGACGGCAGGTGAGAATTGTTTTGTTCTCCTAATGCAATTGTTTCCAGGACTTGCATTTGCAGATGGTCAGCTTATATGAAACCAGTTACTTGCTCTTTGATAATTCATACAAACTGTAGAATGGGATTGAGATGTCAAATAACTAGTTTTTAAACATGACACCCTATCTTCTGAAGGGTATTATTAAATAAGGGTCATGATTTCCACATTCCCATTTTATCCATTTGCAGTCCTCCCCCTTATTTTTGCGCTTTGGTAATTGAGTAAACAAAAGGAGAACTGAAGCATATTGCAAGGAAGGAGTGAAAACGGACAAGATGTGATGGGCTAAGATTGTAGATTAGAATCTGATATGCATAAATGGTTAATGATCTTAAAACCCTCCTTTTCTCTTTAATGTTATTTTTTAAATATCCAACCTGATGAAGCATGTGACTTTGGCCATTGTCTCCACAAGTCTGATTGCAGCATGTTAGACCAAAGTGGAAGTATTAATTTGTCCTAGTTGTTTTTAAATTCCTTTCAAGAAATTTGGCTATGACTATTGTTACTTATTCTCTAGGCTGTGATAAAGATGGAAGGAGATGGTTCTTTCTCTTTGAAGAATCTTGGCAAGGGTTCAATTTTTTTGAATGGCAAAGAAGTTACTACTGGACAGCTTGTTAGCCTTAGTTCAAGTAACTTGATTGAGGTAAATGGTTTTCTATTTTTCTGGTCACACTTCAAATCTCTAGTTACTTTAATTCTATTTATTCCTTGTTCTGGGTTATCTCAAGCATATGCTTCTTGGTCTTGGTTCAAGTGATTAGAATGAAGGAGGGTAATGGTTTCCCATCCTTAATTCTAAAACAGCAGATATCCTCGTAGGATTCTCCTGTCGTCCTTCAAAGTTTCTGCTTTCTCTTATGCTACCACACTTGTTCCTTCTTCCCCAAACATGATTGCTCCTACTAATTTAGTATTCATCAATGGATTGTTTTCGTGTTCTTGGCTTATGAGAGCCCAATTGATTTATTGTTTATGACAATCTGCAGATTAGGGAAATGGCCTTTGTCTTTGAGATAAATCACAAATACACCAAGTTTGAATGGTCGCCTGGGAGAGGTCCATAATTGGAGAAAATTGTAAAGGTGACTTTTCTTGTTCCATTTTTTTAAAAATAGATTCATACTTGGTATGCTCGATTATAGAATGTATAGGCATTTATTATTTTACATCTATGTATGTATAATTAATTAGTTGAGAAAAGATGTATTACAAAAATAAATAAATAAGTAAATAACAGCTAATTTTGTAACCCCTGCTAACAGGAATTACCAGCTCCTTGTTATTTCAACTTGCCTTTGCCCGATGTTTTGATAGTAGTTTGTTATTCAACGGTTGACGTTTGCCGTTTATCATTATCCCGAACCCCCACCAAAAGACAACTAGGATTTTGACAATTGATGTATTTCTTGGTCCCTATTTTGTTTGAGGAATGCTAAAGGCAGTCGCTTAGTGTACATCGTTGACTGGTACCCCACTGCAGGAATCATGCTTATCGACGGCTGACAGCCACCCACCGTGCCCGTCGATGGCTGTCTCTAGCATTACTCATCTTGTTTGCAAGCTTAATTTCCCAAATTCACAGTAGGAATGCTAAAGGATCTTCCTGAATGGTGGTTGGTTGGACTTGGAAATACCAAACGCGAATCTGCATATTGGAAATGGGGTGGCTTTTTGGAAAGTTTGCTGTATTTTCAAGTTTGTTAGCTCTAATAAGCTCTAATAATAAAAGTGCTTAACTCAACCGCTCGATTTGACATTAGTGATATCGGTTGTTAAAATCACCCACCAACTTAGAGCTCGCTCTTTGTAACAACTGAATCAAAGGGGATTAGATTCCATGTGCTGCTGGCATTTGATTCCAATTTCTAACCACCCTTTTTTTTTATCTTTTCTTTTTACCGGTAGGTTCTGCTTTTGTGTAAAGAGGCTATTTCGAGTGGCTTATAGGCAAAGGCAAAAGAACCTATTCGATGTCCAAAGCATATTGGCATAAAGAAGGCAAAATAAAATCGCCTCATTCTACACAAACACAATCAATAACTAATTTATAGAAACTGTTGAAACATTTTGGGTGTGAAAGAATATTGGGTTACTTGGTAAAATAATTCTTTGACATAGAAAAGTTTTTGGACCTAATGTCAGAGTATGATGGGCTCAATATATGAGCCCGCATTTTGCTTCAACGAGTCAATCCACATCTCAACTCGATCTGGTCTAGAGTCCAAAAAATAAAGTTAGTTGGTTCCTCATTTTTAACGAACTGTTAAATATTTTCGCATTATCTCTTGCATTTTATTATGAAAATTATGGCCATGGATATAGAAAAGAGAAACAACGACAGCTCGACAGTAGTAATAACAACTCTCAGCTTCAGCTAACCAACACACGTCACTGTTTCTGTATACATACAGCCAAGTTGTCCACTCTAGGACCAACACACGACCTTCCTCCTCTCTCTCTCTCTCTCTCTCTCTCTCTCTCTCTTTATTTCTGTGACAAGTGCCGTGAGCCCGTGAGAAAACCACTCATCATATAAAGATCTCTGAACTCTCTGACCCCAAAATACAAAAAGAGCTTTTTGCAAAGGCTCTCTCTCTCTCTCTCCCACATCAGAATTCTCATTCTGATTTTCCACGGAAACGAACGGTCCTGATCAACCCTGCTGTCCTTTCTCTTCATCTGCAAACTCCACACCCCTTCCTTATCTTCATTCATATTCCCTCAAACCTACAAACAGTTACCATCATCACTCTTGAGTGAAAACACCAAATGGGTGTGCATAGCAATTTATCTCCTTCTTCTTCTTCCCTTGCTGTTTTGCTAATCACACTCACAACCCTGCAACTACTTGGAGCAGAATCAAAGACCTTCTGGGGAGACATAGAAGCTCTCAAGGAGCTCAAGAACGCTCTGGACCCCACCTCAGTGAGCCCAGGCTCATGCATAAGCTCATGGGACTTCAAGCTCGACCCCTGCGACAATCTTTTCAGCGACCGATTCACCTGCGGCTTCAGGTGTGACCTGGTCGACTCAGCAACGAGTCGAGTCACCGAGCTCAGTCTCGACCAGGCCGGTTACTCCGGTTCGCTCTCCTCCATCTCCTGGAACCTCCCTTACCTCCAAACCCTCGACCTCTCCAACAACTTCTTCTCCGGCTCAATCCCGGACTCGCTCTCCAACCTGACTCGGCTGACTCGACTCGGTCTCTCCGGAAACTCCTTCTCTGGCTCCATACCCGCATCCATCGGATCACTCTCCAACCTCGAGGAGCTATACCTCGACAGCAACGGTCTCCATGGCGCAATCCCACCGAGTTTGAATCGGCTGGCGAGCTTGAAACGACTCGAGCTCCAAGGGAACCAACTCAGCGGCGAGTTGCCCGAGTTGGGTTCTCTGCAAAACCTCTTCTACCTGGACGCCAGCAACAACGCCATTTCTGGGCAAATCCCATTAACCCTCCCGAGCTCTCTGCTCCAAATCTCCATGAGAAACAACCGCTTGCAAGGAACAGTCCCGGAAAATATCAAACACTTGGGTTTTTTGCAGGTGCTCGATCTGAGTCACAACCAACTCGGTGGCTCTGTTCCCTCTTACCTCTTCGAGCATCCATCACTCCAGCAACTCACCCTCTCTTTCAACCAATTCTCGTCCGTACAGCCCCCAGTTTCTCTGGGCATCCAGAGCGAGCTGATTGCCCTGGACCTCAGCAACAACCAGCTCAAAGGGCTCCTGCCATCTTTCCTGCCCATGATGCCAAAGCTCTCTGCTTTGACATTGGAGAACAACAAGTTCATGGGTATGATTCCGACCCAGTACGCCTTCAAAGTGGCCCTACCCGGATCCGGAGTCTCGGCGTTCGAGAGGTTGTTGCTGGGCGGGAATTACTTATTCGGACCCATCCCGGGTCCGTTGCTGGTGCTCAAACCGGGTTCTGCAAATGTGGGTTTGGCCGATAACTGCTTGTACAGATGCCCAAGAGTTTTCTTTTTTTGTCAAGGTGGTGACCAGAAATCGCTCTCTGAGTGCAGAAGCTTCGGCCCAATAATCCCATGATCAAAACGTTATTATTTGTAACATTATGACATAAAAATTACTAATTTTGATTGCTTCCTCTCGTTCTGTTTTTGCTTCTTTTTTTTTCTTTTTTTGGGTTTTTTATTTATTTTTATTGGATTATTTTTTGAAGTGGGAAATCTTGTGTTAAATACTGTAGTAATGAGAAGGGTCGTCCTTGTCTGGTGGTACATGACCAAAGTAAATCAGCTTGCTAGATTTTTTTTTAATCTTCCTCTGACACCTGAACGCTAGGCGCACGTGGTTTTCTATGCTTCTGATGGCCTGAGGGCCCCACTCTGATGAACCAATCTCCTCACTTCTTTAGATTACTATTTGGTATTTTATACCTTTTTTATACGGTATGTACGTATAGACTGAATATGCTTGTACTGTTTTACAGCTTCCAGTTTTTATACCTTTTTTTCGTGGTACTTATACCACTCGTCCGAAAAAAAGAGTAAAATTTATACCACGTGACGATGTTCTAGTAAATATGTGGTGTGGCGGAGTTCACGATTTGAAAGAGTAGTCCAATGGTTAGTTTACATTATCTTCATACCAAACCTTCGCTTCTTGCTTAAATCATTGATTTACAGACTTCATTTTTCCTTTCCATTATGGAACCTACCAACCTCCACCACAGCATGATTCATGGGGCAACATTGATCCAGCCACAATACTCATTAGCAGCCACACTATAATAAGTCAGCTTAATGGTGGCCCTACTGATTTCATTCCTGTGTTTGAAAAGATTATGTTTCCAACTTACCAAAACTAGCATTAGCCACAGTGGAGCTAAACCCCAAATTACAAATCCTAGTCACTTCCCACTAATTATGGAGAGCATTTCTTATCTTAGTTGGAAGTTTTTTTTATGAAGACTTTTTTTATTAGGATGGGCGGTAATATACTAAACTCATACACGCTGCACTAATGGGTACTTTGCATCCTAGTTAGAAGAAGATAACTTTAGTGTGAGGTGAGGCTTAGTTTAATAAATTCATACACATGAGAGACATGACAAAAAGTTTTGAGCTTTAATATAGCTACCATCTCTCTCTTCACTTCTTCCCTGCTGCACAGCTAGCTATAGAACACCTTCTCCATCACCCAATTAATTCTACTATCTCAGAAAATGAAGATTTCCATTCACAGCAGAACCTTGCTGCTCCTCCTTCTCTCACAGCTCCTCTCATTTCTTGCCTCCAAAGCATGCCATTTTGTAGACAAACAAGCCCTTCTCCATTTCAAGCATAACATCATTTCTGACCCTTCAAAGCTGCTGCATTCATGGTCAGTTTCCTCTGACTGCTGCTCTGCCTGGGAAGGTGTCGCGTGCAGCTCCTCTGGCAGAGTTGTCAATGTCTCACGTTCGGGACTTGTTTCAGACAATGACTTCATCGTCGACACGTACATGTCTGGTACTTTGTCCCCTTATATTGGAAACTTGTCCTCTCTTCAACTTCTTGACCTCAGTAATCTCAAGGACTTGAAGGGTCCAATACCACCAGAACTTGGGAAGCTATCTCAACTCACTCATCTCTTTCTTGATTCAAACAAGCTCATTGGCTCAATACCAACTACATTTGGTAATCTTTTTCGATTGGAGAAGCTCTTTCTTGGTGACAATTATATATCTGGTGCTGTTCCTTCCTCTGTTATTGGATCTTTGAGATCACTTGTGGAACTAGGCCTATCTGGAAATAGATTGTCAGGGCCAATTCCAACTTCAGTTGGGAAGTTGGTGTTGCTAGCAAAGCTTGATCTCCATGGGAACAATATCTCTGGTAGCATTCCCACTAGCATTGGCAAGCTAAAGAGCCTTATATATCTTGATTTGTCAGAAAATCAGATAAGTGGAAGACTTCCTCAATCCATTGGTGCACTTTCCCAATTAGTCTTGCTCTATCTCAATCATAATCAGATTACTGGAAGCATTCCATCTTCGATTTCCGGGCTCAATTCTCTGCGGTTTTGTCAGTTATCAGAAAACAAGCTCAGAGGCACTTTACCAGCATCACTAGGCCAGCTCCCAAAGATCGAAAGGCTCATTTTCGAGAACAACAAATTTTCAGGAAAACTGCCAGAAACCATTGGCCATCTAGCAACTCTTACTGACATTTTCTTCTCCAACAACCATTTTACAGGCAAGATTCCTTCAAGTTTTGGCAATTTACATAACCTACAAACACTAGATTTATCGAGAAATCGACTCTCGGGTCAAATTCCTCCTCAGCTAGCAAAACTACAGAGGCTAGACACTTTGGAACTTTCATTCAATCCTTTGGGATTGGTTAGTATACCAACCTGGTTTGCAAGATTAAAGCTTTTCAGGCTATTGTTGGCAAAAACTGGTATTCAAGGGCAGCTTCCAAGTTGGTTATCTTCATCATCTATATCCATACTTGACTTATCAAGCAATGCCTTGACAGGGAAGTTACCTCATTGGATAGGCAACATGAGTAGCCTATCATTTCTGAACTTATCAAACAACGGTTTCCATGCATCAATCCCAGCTGAATTCAAAAACCTTTCACTTCTAATGGATCTTGATCTACATTCCAACAAGTTCTCTGGCCACATGGATTCAATATTCTCAAAAGAATCCCAAAACCCTCTTGGCCAATTTAATTCCATTGATCTTTCTCACAACTTGTTCACTGGCCCCATTGATGAGGACATTGGAGAAAGATCCACAATGACTTCTATCAAAAGTCTAGTTTTATCACACAACCCATTGAGAGGAAGCATACCAAAGTCACTCGGGAAGTTGAGTGAGCTGCAGGTCCTAAAGCTTGTGTATAATCGGCTTTCTGGAAGGATACAAATGGAGCTTGCACATTCCACAAAATTGGCTACAATTCTTTTTTCAAGCAATAACTTGAGTGGCACTATTCCAAAGGAGGTGCTGAATTTGAAGGATCTTCAAGAATTTGATGTGTCTGGAAACCAATTGTCAGGGAAAATTCCTCCTCACAAAGCTATTTTCCCCTTGTCTGCTTTCGCAGATAATCCTGGCTTGTGTGGAGCTCCACTTCCTCCTTGTAACCACTCTTAGCATTTTCCCCAAAATTTCCATTTTTAAAGTTTATCTTGAAATTCTGATTAATGATGAAAACTTAAAAAGTTCAGATCTTTACTTTTTGTGTAGGCTTAAATGTTTATGCATCACTAAAATATTGAAAGTTCTGATGTGTTTGAGTCTTTACGTCCCCCTAACGGCTATTTTTCCAGCCCTAAGCTCCTCGAATCACGATTTAAAGCAGAGGCTAATTAAATCTTCAACCCCTTGAAGCACCATGTGAGGCAGGTATTTACTTGTAATATAAAAACACCGTCCATACCTACTACCCTAGCAAATCTGTTGCAGATAAATAATAAATAACAAAAAAAGCTTAATGTTGGCCAGGCCATAGGGGCAATGGACGACGTTGCCCTAGTTTTAGAACATGTTAAAATACTGTAAGGAAACAAATTGAGGTAAGCTGGTCATCCTCAAGACTCAAACCATGTCTTGTATTTTTCTCCTTGTTGTGTTGTTTGTTTTGGTGTCTAGTGTTTGGATTATGCTATGTCCATGATTCTGAGCTAGAATACTACTTTACACCGGCTACAACTCCCAATCAGTGAATTAAGTAATAACATTAAGCTGATAGGAGTACTTGATGTTGCATTGATTTTGAGGATATATCACCTCACAAAGTGGGGTGATGAAAGGAATAAATTTTGAGATTGTTCATATTTCATGAACCTAAAGTATTGTATTAACAAATAAATACAGGTGTTATAACTAAATGAATTGACAATACCACGTTATTGTGTGACAATCACATTGAGAAATTTCTGATGTTGAAAAGGTTCCATAAACGAAAAACAAAGCATTGCATTTATATAGGAATACGAGGGGAAAGAGAGAGATGTCAATCGAAAGGTATTTAATATTTATTCATAATCAAATTAAATGACCATTGATATCCTTTCGTAGCCACCAGATAAACATATATGTTATATATTATGTTATTTGGCTATAAAAATAACAAGCAGAGCACCAGTGGTCTAGTGGTAGAATAGTACCCTGCCACGGTACAGACCCGGGTTCGATTCCCGGCTGGTGCAGATATTTTTTTTGTTGTATTTTACAACAACATTTCAACTGGAAATTAAATTAATATGTGCCTGCTGCCTGCAGTTATATCATGTAGAGCACGCTTTTATTGACAGTACATAGAAACAAGTTCCCTGCAATTTGCATTGATGGCTTCACTGCACACTCTCCTCCCTCTTTGCTTCATGCACCATTTTCATGCAATATATATAACCTGTTCATTATTGTCACTTCCTCCCCTTCACCCTCTTTTTAGTTATAAGAAGCAAAAGCTCTGACCACTTCTCTCAAAGCAAAAGCACAAACACCTTTGGGACCAGCAAAACATTTGCAAAAAATACTCATATCGAGCACATCCAACATACCACATAATCAAAGTACTCGAACTTTTGGGGAGGAGGACCCGAACTTGGGTGCAAGGAAGCGAGCGTACCACCCTGTCCAAATATCCTAACCCTCTTTATAAACGTTAATGATTGTCTCACAAAACTACTTATCAAGAGTTTCCACTTCCAAAGCTCAATGGTGGTGGGATATGGTTTTAAATTAAGCTGTAATAATAAGTGGATGATGCAGAAAATGGAAATAGTTACGTGTTTGATAGATTATATGGGTTTAGAGTACCGAAGGCCCGTGTGTTGGCAGTTTCCAAGGCATGAATTGCGTTGCATTGTGCAGAAGAAGACTGCAAAAATTGCAAATTGCTTTTGGGCAACTGGTTTGGTTGGTGTGCCTGCATTACAAAGGCCGCCATGTCCTGCTTCTCAGCCCATCACGTGACAGTGCCTTGTGCCCCTTCTGCTGCTCAATGTTCATCATATCACCGGTCTTCATCTGATTTCGCCACGTGTCCTGTTGAGTTCATATCTGTGTCTCACGAGTGCCACAGAAAACTATTCATGCACGTTTCGCTTAAGGCTAAACCAAATTTGGAAAACTATATTACCCGAAAAGTGTGACAAAAATGCAAATAAGGATATATATATATATAAAGAAGAAAAAAGAAAAAAGAAAAAAGTTGAGGACAAATAAAGCAACCCAAAAGGAGTTTTTGCTGTCAAATTTGGGCCACACCACATGTTTATTTGTTTGAACATG